TGCTTAACCACATCTCTTCTGGAGTTCTCACCCTGCAGATACTGACAAGATGCACCACAGACACACACATGCTACCTCCTCGAAGACCCATCTTTTGTATGCACAACACTCATGCTTTATATACAAGAGATTTTTAAAACCAATCACCATTTACACAGTAACAAATTAATGCATGTGCATTTTCTTGCCTTTAGAGCCTCTCTATTCTTGAGTGTTCTTTTAACTGCGAACCCAGCATCCCACTCTCCTGAGCACTGCTCCTTATGAAATACAGACGCTCTTGTAATTTCTTTCCCATCTCCCAGCGGATCTCCTAATAAAACCACCTCCCTTTGCCACAGAACATCACTTTCAGCTCTTATCAAGTTCCATTTGTTTTGGAAATGCTTCTAATAATGATTTTTAAGCTTTGTGTTACCACTACATCTTTGTTCTCCTCTTTAGTTATTTCTTATTTCCCAAACCATAGACGCCAGTAGGTAATACTTGATGCCTGAATCCACTTTAAAGCTGTGTACTCTGTTAACAAACAAAAAAAATGCTAGTAAAAGTCATTATCTATGACTATCTTACCAGAACCAAAGGGACACCATTCTTAAAACAGGAAAACTCCTATACCAGCAGTCACTAGCAAAAATAGCAAGAAACATTTTTGGTTTGTTATCAAATTGCTTAAAAAAAAACAAAAATTACTCTGCTACGCATGGCACCAATGCTCATCAGTGTTTTTTGCTGATACCCCATCCATCTAACAAAAAGGGTTTTTTATTAGTTTCTTCTAGAAGTCTAAACAACATATAGTATTGTAGTGTGTAGTTTTTATTGACTACCAGCCCTTCACTCTTTAACTTATTGTTAAATTAATCAGTAAACTGGGTAAGCATATTATGTCGACACTGAATCTTTTTCATCTAAGTAGACATCTGAGCAGCTTCTTTAAAAGCAGCTATTAAATGACAGCATTGGTCAATGGGTTTTCTGAATGAAGAAGCAGTAAATAAGTATTCTACTCTCACTGAGGAATTATAGTATTTTCATGTTCCTTGTGCTTTAGAAGATTTTTCCCCAGGAGCTTTTACGTTTATGATTCATGCTAAGAGATTTAAGAATTATAATAAGAAATGCTTATCACATGTTTATTTATCGAGATAAATTCAAAGGTTTAATAATAAGGTCTCATCTTATTGTAAGTGACAAAACTTCCCAAAAGCCTGGGAAATGTTTATTACAGGCACAATGACTTTTTTTTTTTTTTTTCAAAATACTTCTCTTTTTTAATCCTTGAAAAGTTAATTTGGTATTGATTTACCAGATGACAAGTATAGCAGGGACAAGGAGACAGTAAAAAAGTCTTCATCATAACAGTACAGTAATTTAAGTAAGTTTTACAAAGGAATTAGAACCAAAAAAAAAAAAATCCTCAGGAAAGGAGGAAGGGCCACTGGAACATAATTATGAGTTGGTAATGCTATCAACGTCCTCCATAGTGATACATGCAATTTGACAGATGATTTTGTCTTGAGTTTATGTAAACAAAATCAGTGACTGGTATTTCAGAAGAGAAAGCTTTTTTTTTTTTTTTCAGTTGTTAGAACAGTGTGTTCTCTGCAATTTTGTCTTTCTAGATTACAAATCTGTCATTTAATAAGAAATAATAATGAGAACAAAGTAATCTCCCAGACTGCAATATTGGTGACAGACTTCATGTAAATTAGATCAGACCCACAAGAAGTATATAGTGTCGTGACTGTGGATTTAAATTTTCCTACTGATGTCAGAAGAGCTTTCTTTTTTTTTCTTGGAAAAGCCTTTCAGTTATTAAAAAAAACTGTGCCAGCTGATCAAGTCAAGGACTTTCTGTGCTCTACTCACTAAGATTTGTAATAAGTAGCATAGCTTGACTTTTACTCCTGAACCAAATGTTCTAACTGCTGAAATAAATGGCATTTCTGGTGATGCACACACACAAATCTTCAACTGTTGAAGACGACTCAATTTGTATTCCTCCTGAAGAAAACTTCAAAGATCTGTAGCTTGTGGGAACATATGACTGTGTCACATCATTCAAAAATTTGTACGATGCTCCTAAGATCCCCCCCAGCCTTCCTGCTATGGAAGCAGTAGCTATTTAAACACACTGAATCTTAAAATATTTAAGTTACAGCTACTCTACCCAAAAGCATCCGTTCAAGACTTTCCTTTCACACCTCTGGCAGTGACAACACTGTATTTTTCCTCTCCAATTCCACCCCACTTCTGTATGACTACCGACCTACTTCTCCACTTCCTACATCACTTCTGATAAATTCACAGTTGTGGAACACATGGAGTCTAGTAAAGCGGAGTATTAGTTCCAAACTCCGTTCCTCTAATTAATGAGCTTCTCCTAACAGTAAGAAGGTGTCACCCCTAGACTATATAGAAAACAATGTGCAGGCTTCCTCACCCTTAGCTCTCTATAACCATACGAATCTCATTTTGTATCAAGCTAGATGGTTTTGATTGATCCAAACAATGTGTGACAACCAAGACACTTCAAAGAGCTTTCATAACAATTCTGCCCAATAAACAAACTGGAACATTTATAGTGTGTTGCTGGTATACTTCACTTCTACAATGCATCCATTCTTCTGTCTTAGAAGAAAACAACTCACTTTTTATCCCCTATCTTTTTTTAACATACCGCTGATTGAATCAATATCCCATCTATATAGTCAATAACATTCAAGAGATTCATCAGAACCTTGTTTCTACTTGGCTAAGAATATTAAATACTGTATAAAACAATTCTGAGATACAGATAAAATACTTTCTCAAAGCTTTACACTTTTCTGCTTTGCATTTCTATTTACCACTTTTTATCTCAGTGGAACCCATTTATTGTTCATATACATACTTCACTCTTGTGCTGTGTTGCTACCTCTGTACATCGCACAACTACAGTACAGCTAAGTAATACCTCAGGAAGTTGGTGGCCTGTTCATCTGATCTGGTGTAATACCAGTGCACTGAATGGCTAGTTTTCAAACACAATTACGAATTTCATGTAAAGATTCTACCCAACTACACATATCTCATCTGCAAGATTTCACAGAAGTTCAGTTTTCATGAAAAAAAACCCACAGCTGCCTGTGTATATTAAAACACATAAATATGGACTTTGGTATGTGTAATGTAATTGCAATCACTAGTAATAAAAACCCCTCACTTATTTCTTGCTTTAAAAAAAATGAGTCTCATCAATGTCATAGCCTCTTATATAACAAACTAACAAACAACCATTACAAATATTAAAATATACTAATTATAATTAATTTTAGCTCTGGCTGCTCCACTTCCACAAGTGACAAAATGAAGGCACAGGGATTCCATTATTTCCTAAATCTAAACATGAAGTCACTAGGTTAGAAGTCTTCTAAAATCTTATACTAAACCTGAAAGTCCCTTGGTCCAATAGCAGTTAGACTATTTTGGTTAAGGAGATAGATAATAGCATGCTTTCTGCTTAAGCCATGCAAAAGGTACCAGAATCAAAAGCGAAATTGGGAAGTCTGAATTAATTAGGAAGCAGTGAAAGGGTTTTTCAAGGCTGTTTGCTGGGTTCCAGAACTGTACACCAGCATACAAGTACTGACTTTTTCCTAAATAGGACCTAGTATCAGAAACTGAAGGGTAAGCTTTAATCCCATCCAATTGAAAGAGCTGTCACCTTATTGCTATTTTCATGATAGCACATAGCACATCTGCCACTTCAAACAGGGAATCAGCTGTACAAAGTCTGTAAGCCTAACAGCATTCAAGAACTGTCAGCAAAATATTTTCCTCTTTGAGGCAGAAAAGGGATGGAAAAATTCTAAGACTTTCAAATACTTAGCATATTACAATTTAAAAAAAAATATTTAAGAACTGTTGGCTACAACAAACAGCAAAGGCTAGTTTACCATTAAAGGTGCAAATATGAAAGGAGGAAATAAGTTAATGAGCTCCCTGCCATTCCTAGGAACACATTTGTGTTGTACAGCCTTTGATGATGGTCAATTCAAATTTTTACTCTGATTTAGCCTGCTGATGAACTTTTTCAAGGTGTCCATCAATTAAACTACACTTGGTTTACCAATTATAGGCATTTTTATGGAATCTTTCTGAAACAATCCCATAAAGGTTCACTGTGCAAAGTAGACCCAAAGGCATCACTACCACAGAAAAGCATAATTCTTTCTTCAGAGCACGGTATTATGATCGTGATATGCAACACAATTATATAATGAAGTTTACAGAGAATGCCCAGCAGCCAAAGAAACAAAATAAGGAAATACCCTAGATGTCACATTCTTCTATTTATCTCTTCACAAGTCCCTTATTCTCACCTAGCTGCTACATGATACAGGAAGATATATATTATACTCTGGAAATATACTGTAAGGTTATGATCCATTAATGACTGTGAAGCAGTTGGATATCCTCCAGTACATCCCAAATAAAGAAGCCAGTCCCCAATATGCAGGCATCTCGAATAAAAAGTACCGTCAGTCCACATAAAACTGACCAGAAAACTCTTCAGTCTTCAGGACCTCCTTGTTCCTATGTGATATAGATTACAAAATGTATCTGTCTTTTTTTCCCAGACTTATGCTGTTACCGTGAAGTTTAACATGAAAGTTTGCCAAGACAAACTAAAAGGGTAAAACTCGAGTAAAGGATACCCATTTCATGTAGTCTTAACAGGCTGCTGCCCCAAATGAAGCTCTTCTGTAGAATGGGAATGCATACACAGGCATTAATGTCACCATTTAGAAACAGATGCTGCCAAGTAGTCTTTTGGAGACATAGAGGGGCAAGAGCTGGATATTAAAGAAAAAATGAGCAAACCAATTAACTAATTTTCAAAGCCAAAATAAACTTTTTAGTATTTTAACATTTCAAATAAATTACAAGAAAGATATATTCTTAACAGTGACTTTCCCTTGAGATTTGACCCGCTTCTGTGCTTATTCACTTACAATGGCATCAATCTGTTCCAGGATCTTCATGAACTGCTCTGCAGTCCCTTTTATCCTCTTGTCCAGTTGTTTTAGCGCTTCTGCTTGGAGGTCCTTTGCTAAAAATCCCTGAGGAGGAACAAGAGGGAAGGAAAGGCAAAATTACTCCATACCCTACGGAATACTCATCTTAGACAAAAGAAAATATCTTTCACTACTTTTGTGGTTTCAACTACGATAGGGACTCCAATCTCAATCTGCATTCTATCAGTCCTTGAAGTGCTAAAGGTAAGATCTGCTAGGTTTACAGAGAAGATTAAACAAGTAACATACATTCTCCTTTGGACTTTGAGAGAACTCTTTATGTTTTTCCGGATCTAAAGAATATAATTTGTCCAACAGGCAACAACATTTACCTTTTTCCAAACAGTGCCACATCTCTATTTTGCCAACTCATAAATAGCATTTGAAATTCAGTAAGACTTTTACAGGACACTTGGACAGAGGAGGGGTAGCCTATTTCTGACTACTCAAAACCTTTAAACAGTGTTTTTTTTTTTTTTAAATACATATATCTGCAAAAAAGTTTTGCAAAGTTATAAAATTATACAAAACTGGCATACCTTCTGGATACTTGTGAACTCTTTATTAACTTCCTCTAACTTCTTAGCTATTTGCTCCACTGACTTCTCCAAATCTTTTAACTTCTTTAATTCAGCCTCTTCTTCTGGACTATTCTGTGTATTCAAAAGTACAACATTCACAACTATGGAACAAATAGAGTCACTATGCAGCTAAAAAGCAGCAAGAGTGGTGATACAGACATAAAAGGTTTCTCCTGACTTAAAATATGTACTACACTGTTGTTATTCTTTCCATATTTTAATACCTATCAAATAAATTTATTCCAAAGCTTAACTACAAATACAGTCAAAGCAGCAAGGTATATAAGCACATTAAATGAGATGAAATTGAAGGGCGAAAGGAAAAGTGGAAACTTTTTTTTTGTTAGCTTAGCAACTTTAAAATAAAGGTAACATTTGTATCATGAGATACTACCTCGACCTCTACCTGGCAAAAGCAGTCACAAGTCATTTCACTAGAAATAACCCAGCAGACTCAGCAGCTACAACTTTTTTTTAAAAAAAAAAAAAAAGAAAAAAAAGCAGATATAGTCACCAATGCACAGACAGTTCATGAGCACTGACAAGCAACACATTAGGCAGAATTTTGTCAGTAATGTGATTTCAGAAATGTACAAACTGAGTTATTTGCAGTACGATGTAAGACTGAACTCAGCTTTGTGGATAGGTATACAAGATTAGGTTTACGCTGTAACCTGTTTCTGTGTTCAGCAGCTGAATAGTTGACAGAAATTATAATAGTTTAAGGAAAACAAAGGTCCAAAGACAACTCTTACCCTTTTCCCAATCAACATGACTTTGCAACCATTTTTAACACCAAGTGCTGACAATGGCTGCTCCAATTCTTTCAGAGACTTCCCTAAATGGAAAATGAGGGAGGAAAAAAAACAGTTAAAATATAGTTAGTGGCATAAGAATTACTTTTTGAAGACATTCAAAACACGGACACCTGAGAGTGACTAAGATGGAAGGTACCATCTATAAGAAACATTGACAAATTTATAGGTTACCTTTGTATATCAGTTTCTGAAAAGGAACTGGAACTCCAGTGACTTGTTCAATAAGCACAGCCATGTCTTGTAGTGTTGGTTCACCATCTTCTTGTTGAGAAGCAACCTGAATACTGTGTTTTTCATTACCTAACAAAAAACAGAGTAACGGTAATACTTACTCTTACCTAGAAAAATACTACAGGGAATCCATTTCTAATATTTATTTCCATTAATGCAGAAAGTTCTCAAATCACTGATTCTTATGTACAATCATAATTCCCAATCAAAGGATTCTGTTGCATTTCCTTCCTCTTGGAGTGACTTACCTCAGCTGCAACTTTCGTTTTAAATTCAAATAACCTGAAGAGTTTGATCAGGTGTATTCTGCAGGCATAATGTTCCTGCTAAATATTATTCCCCACTTCTTTTTAAGAGTGCACATGGTGTCCAGATATCCCACAAGCTAAAGCATGAAAGCTCATACCTTCCTGATGCATCCCATTTCCTACTTGTAGGAACTTTTAATGGCACGAGTCTTGGGGAATCTGAGACAACACATTACTTTCTCTGCTCCCTACTCCTCTTCCATGAGAAGCACGCAATCAGTGTCTACCCTGTCTCCCCTCCTCCAGCCATTTGAGAGAATTCTCACAGTCCAAAAATTATTTCTCCCCATAACACTCCTGATATGCAGCCTTAACCACTTTGAGAAGGCTCAGCCTACATATCACCTTCCACTTATGGAGCATCCTATTCAGACTTCCTAAGGTCACTTGCACACAACCAGCAGGAAGTTCTTAGACAAAAGGAGTTACGTCTATTAATCTCTGCTTTGCAACAGAGCCCTTCTATAACCCGCTGCTCCCACACACTTAAGGCCCGTCAATCTGAAAGCACCCACAGAAATCAGCCACACTGGCTGCGAGAGAAATCAAGACAGGCATTTTTTACTTTGCAGGAAGAAAGAACTCCTTAACAAATTCCAGAGAGAAAACTATTCTCATGCCACTAATTTGAAGTGCACGTACCTTTACGAAGAAGAGTGCTAGAAACATTGATTTTTAGATGTCCCAGCCTCCCACAGTCACATGACAAGTGACACTGTGGCCTCAAAATCTTGCGAGCTCCAGCAATATCTCTTAATTCCAAAATGGTTTTAAGCTCAAAAATCACATTATACAAACCCTCCCCCAAGCATTTTCCACAAACAGACCTTATTCCCAATTTGTTTTAGGAAAAAAAAAAAAAAAAAAAAAAAAAAAAAAGGAAAATTCAGGTCATAGCCTCAGTATATTTCAAAAGGTTGTACTGGTCTATACAACTGCTTTGTGTGAGGGCTGCGCCTGTCAGCACTTGAGAGAAAAAAAAAAAAAAAACAAAAAACAAATAAACAGCATATGGGGAAGAGAACAGCTGAAATTCGCCTAGCAATAGAAACCATTTTAATTACAAATTATGAGTACCACTTTAGGCAGACTGTAACAAAAATTTTCCTGTAAATTCACAGCCGAGTGAAATCACCATGAAAAATACCTATTGGGTTAGAACTGGTATCATAGCTTATCAGTTTGCTTCTGTAAATGGTAATACTAAATTAAGTAACCACTAGTGCAAAATTCCAGTATCTTCTTTAAAAGAAAGCCTAAACACATTAAAAAAACAGGTCAATTAAATTTCTTGCAGATTGTCAAGTAATACATGCGGGTCTACTACTAGTCTCTTTCTTAACCCTTATTTCCATCTTTTCCCATTTTCACACATGCATGCGAAACTTTAATAAAAATGTTTGTGCTAACTAGTAAACAAGCATCTGACAGCAACAAATATAGATCATACAGCTAAAGTCCAAGATGAACAATGCCTTCTATTTGCTATTTATTAATGACAAAGTAATTACTAGAGAAAACAACTGGAAAGCTAAAAACATTCTCAGATAAGAAGACTGCTGGCAAACAGCAAGATATTGGAATTTTAAATGTGTTACTATCATTAAGTTATGGATATCTTTGCAAATGAAAACCCCTCTGATCAAGTGAGCACATGAACCATGAAGATTCAAATGGATTATACCAGAGTTCCTCACTCTTAGATAAAACTGCCAGATGATAAAGGGAACATTTTCACAAAATAACGTGACAGTTTGAAAACATAAATGAGCAAGCAGAAATAAACAGTGAGTTTGAAGGGTGGAAAGAACATCACCAACACAGCTCAAAAGGAACAGGAGTAGAAATTATTATTATGCAGTAATTTAAAAATAATCCATAAAAAAATAACAAGTTTTGTTAACAAAAATCAGATGATGAATACCTTGCTGGTTAAACACCTTACTATCATTCTCATTCCTGTTACTGCTTCACCTAGATATACTTCATCAAAATTGAAGCATGCTATTTCCCATCTTATTTTTAAGAATTGTGGAGTCCAAGCTATTCTTACTTCTTTGCAGTAAACTGTTGTATGTATTTGCAGACTTAACCACATCCTCCCTTCCACCTTCTTCTTCCTCCTATTTCTCTCTTTTTTTTTTAAAGAAAAAAAAAAGCTGTATCTTGTCAGCTGGCCTTTGAGTTTCATCAAATCGGCACCCGATTGCCATTGAGAAGAAACCCCCACTCCCCGCTGCAACCCTGCTTCTCGCTGGTCACAAACGTTGGAGCTTTTTCAACAAAACGAGACCCGATCGGGCGTGGCACCTGCTTGTCACAGACCGTGCTGACTTCAGCGACACATCCCATCCAAACGAAGGTTACTACCGAAAAAGCGACCCCTGCCCTGTCCCTCTCCCCGCGGCTCGACGCGGCCGCCCGCCCCTCGGCTGCCGTTAGCGGCCGCAGCGCTGCTCCCGGGGAGCGCGGGGAGGGGCCCCCCGAAACCGGGGCCCGACCCGCACGGCCGCGCCCGAGCCCAGCCCGGGGTACGGGCCGCCGCTCCCCCCCCCCCCCCCCCGCGCGGCCCTTACTGTAGGTGATAGTGACGGTAACCGGGGCTCCGCACGCCGCCATCTCACCCCGCCGCCAGGAAACCGTTTGGCGAGCGCTACGCGGGGCGCGCCGGTAGCGCGTCACTTCCGCGGCGGGGCGGGGGCGTGACGTCACGTCAGCGGGCGGCCGGGGCGGGGCTCCACCGGGGCCGGTGTCACGGCGGGGGGGGGGTGGGGAGCGCTGCCCCCGGTACCCGAGCGCAGCGGCGGGATCGGTTAAACCAGCGGTTTGTCTCAGACCGGTCCGGGCCAGGCCGCTGGTTTTCCCGGCGGGTTTCGGTGCTGCTCGGAGCGAGCGCCCCCCCCCCCCCCCCCCCACCCTGACCCTGCGCTCGTACGGAAAAATAAGAAAGAAACGGAAAAATAAGAAAGAAACGGCACAGAGAAAATAAGTGTGCACCCAGTTGGGCTCACGGCATCACAGCGTGAGTGTGCACGACAGCCCCTCCGAGCTTCCACTTGCGAGAGGGAACGCTGGTCGTGTGACCCTGTTAAGAACAGGGGGCAGGTTAAAACCAAATTAATTACCAGAAAAGCCACACAAAAGGATCAGCTAATCTACGTGATTTTATGTCGCCACAGAATACATAAATTTAACGATAACCCGATTTATTACAGCTTTCGAGAAGGTTACGATAGCATAAAAGTCTCAAGACTGCGATAGGTTAAAAATTGCTTTCAATTTTTTTTATCAAAGAAGCATAGTAGTAAGGGAACTATTTTACAGAGAGTAAGCAGCAACATACAGTCTTAGTTTCAAGAAAGAGAAACATATTACGAAGTCAAAATAAAAGCCATCAACAGTCACCACTACTCTTCACATATTACTTTGTCCATCAGACACAGAAATCAAAATCTATTAGACTGACTGCTTCCACTGAAGGGAACTGCACCAAATTTTCCATTAATAGAAAAGTCAGTAGTAGAACAGCTTTCTTCAAAGAAAGAACACCACCAGCCATTCATATTGTATTCTAGGATGTAGTGATATTAAGGTTACACTGGAAGGACAAGTTCTCCAGGATTTAAAAAAAAAAAAAATTCTTAATTTGTTTTGTAAAGTGTAGTTCATTATATCCATTGTGCTTTTCAAACATTTATGTTGCGGGGATCTTTGGCAACCCAAATTCATCCACCAATACACCATCCTGTAAGAAAGAAAAAGCAGCAGCAGGTTAACAACTCTCCACCAACCAGAACATTTCACAAAAGTTTCCTTACAGTTTCTATACAGTGATATATATGTAATTGCCACTGTGTGACAGCTGGGATCAAAACATGAGCATCGGTGTTCTCCCTCACTAGGAAGCTATATTAAAGATCCAAAAGCAAACATACAGAAGACTTTATTATGTTTTTAAGAATAACTACACTAGGAGCTGTAATGGTACACTTAAAATCTACTTGCAGTCTGACAGTGTTAGACAGGGGTTGCAAGGTGCCATTTTAGCTCTTTATAATAAGGAGCATTAAGCATACCCTATTTATATAAGAGAGATATATATGATATATATCCAAAATACATAAAAAGTTAAGAACGTTGGGTTTGTTCAAAATATTAAGGATTCCAACTATCAAGCAACTAACACAAACATGATTACATCTTTTGTTTTGTTTTGGATTATTTTGCTTTCAAAAAGGAAAGGACTCACTTTGTTTTTCGTGTCAGTAGGAGTGACTTCTGGGATTGCTGGAGCAGATGCAGCTTCATCTAAGTAGGAATTGTCTTCATCAGCTAACAGCTCATCACCTAATGCATCCAGTTCTGAAATTGAATTACCTTGGTTGAAAAATTATGCAAGGAATTCATTTTGCAAAAGAAAAGTTGCTCTTACAGAGAAACAGGATTCACACTGAATGCTTACACTCATACTTACTTAGCATTACTTAGTCACCAGTCGAGAATACACACACAATACAGAGAACCTTCTTTCCTTCATTGCAGCATTCCATTAGTGTGTATCTCATGTTTGTCTCATACTTTTGTTACTGCTCTTAAAGGAAATGCAGCTTTTATGTTTAAAAAAGTGATTAAAACTATTTTTTTTTTTTTTTACATAACCTTAAAGTATTTGGCTAATGAAATTAAAAATCACTGTATGGTGATTTTTACATCACTGAATGTAAAAATCAATCATCCTCCACTGTACTAACCTGCTTCCAAGTCATCTTCATCAATCTCTGGTGTTCCATAGCTACGACTCAGTGCTTCCTGGACTTCATTGGCTTCTTCCATCATATCCTCTAGCTGATCTTGTATGTCCTGGAGCAAGAAAAAATTTCAACTGGTGCACATTTAATAGTTTTAGTTCTATTTATTAGATCTTAATCAAATTCAGTTTAGTGCTTCCAACATATTAGGCACTCAAATCTATTTATTGAATAAACCGTTTTTTGTAGAAGCATTAATACAAGACACCTGCATTCACAGAGTGTGGCCTTAAATACTATTAAAATTATAATAAAAGTATCAGGTAGGAAAAGAGGAAACTCTGCAATCTCCTTTTAAGTATTCTTCAGGGTAAACTGAAAACCTCTAAAAAATTACCCAGTCCAGCATTATCTGAAATGCAGGGGAGTGCGAAATCTAGAGAAATTAAATATGCCATCTGGAGAATAAGCTGAGTTGTGCCACAGCATAATTCAGAAGATACTTTAGCGTACCCATTGGCATTGTACTTGGGTACAAGTAAGGAGACAGTACATGCCTAAAGGTTTACAATGCAGGCCATATATAAAAACAGCATAGAAAAGAGAACTTTAAGGAGTTCAGCACTGGCATTTGATAAGAATTTAAATGCAGCATACTTTAAATTCTATTTAGAGAACTTATGGGGGTTTTATATGCATTTTCTGAAGATGACGCCAGGCCTTGCAGACCTCTTGAAATTATATGTTTTGCTTGTTTGAGTGTTTTTGGTGGGGGTTTTTGGTTGTTTTTGTCTCTGGGTTTTGTTTTTTTAATCGGGTACTACCTTGAAGTGGGGTAGCAAAGGACTAATCTGCATGTTGCTAACAATGGGGGTGGGGGGAGGGAGGAAAGGGACAAAAAAAGCCATAGCAGGAAGTATTCACCAACATTTATGCTGAAGTGCAGAGGAAAGGAAGGGAGAAATTAAAGATCAGCCCAACAAGGAAATGATAATCACTGCAATAAATGCCAACAACTGATTGTATAGTACCAGAAAAATCATGAAGGAATACTGATGATGGTCCCAGAAAGAGGGAGGCAAACTCATGTGAACTAAAGCAGTCAGCTTACCTTTAAGTTACATAGTCTACTCATCACTATTTCAGTACATTGTTTCTGTTCTTTAATAATTTCATCTATAGAAGCTCACCTCAATTTGATCAATTTTGACTTGCTTGTAAGCTTTCTTCATTTCTTTCACCCCCAGTTTCATTGCATCAACCTAGAACAGAGTCAAACAACATGCTTGTATCTGACGTAGCGTGCACAAGTGAAACGAATGTGAGAAAAATACACAGGTACCGTTGTCTTTGTATCCTTCAGTGCCTGAATAGTGTAATTGGCTTGTTCCATATTAAAAGACTGCTGTGATAGATTATCCCGCTGTTGTTCATACCTGTTAAAAACAATGCGAAGAATGTCTCTAAAACACCAATATTTAAATATTTATCGCCACAAAAATTATTAATTTTTAAAAACAATTTAAAAACAGCAGCAGTAGTCTGAAGACAGGAAAAGAATTTAAAAAAAATATTATAAACAATCACATCAGAATAAATAGCTTCATAAAAATCTGGCCGTTACGTACTTCTATGTATTTAAAGTTGACAAAGCCATTCCTGAACTAAGCTTCTGTTTTAACTGATGGAGATACCATATTTGTACAGGCTTACATAGTAGGTGAGGATACAGCAAAAGTTTAAATCACTATAAGCTAGAGATGCATGCCATTGCTCACTCATGCTGTAAGCAGAATGGAAGAGATGCAAGTTATCCACCACAGTGGTTCTGCAGTGGAGCTTTGCAGGGCAGGGAGAAGGGGGAGGACAGGGTAGCCAAAGGAAACCCCTAAGGCTAACAAAAAAGAAAATAGAGACTTTAAAAATCAATAAATCATACTTCTCAAAGCTAAACTTGAATTCGATCAAGAATGTAAAATATGTCAACTTAAACGTAAAAATGAAAGCATAAAACCAAACAATGAGTCCTTCAAACATACAAGGCAGGAGGGTTTGCAAGACAAGGGTGACCCAAATACAAAACAGCTTCTGGACACAGAATGGCTAAATACATTACAGTTCAACAAGATGGAAAAGAGATGACTGAGGGATATGATGATAGCCTGTTATAAGGGGCCCAGTGACTGTAAACAGGGCAACAACTATCAAATAAGATTAGCAGGCAACATAGTCAAAAAAAAAAAACAAAAAAAAACCCAATGCAACAAAAAAAACACACAAAAAGAAAACAAACCAAAAAAAAAATACCCAACATAACAAAACCAAAACCAAACCAAACCAAACCAAACAGTCCTCCTCCCAACATCTAACTATTGCATTCCTTACCATAGGATGTTTTGGATGGTAAGAGTACACAAATACTTAGCAAGTAATTGAGCATGTCTGTAGAGGTACAATTCATCTGAGGGATATGAAATACAGGATGAAACGAGCTTTGGCTCAGGCAGCATCGAAGATATTTGCAGTTCAGGGACTATAAAATATTCCAGTGAATCACCCCTGAATACCTACCATGTTCTGATCTTCTTTTGTATTTGTTGCTGGACACTTTTCAGGAGAGTATACTAGACTATAGACCATCTATCCTGTCCACTCTGTTTTTTTTGCATAGACAAAATTATGTGCGCTACATGCGCTCAAGTCCTAAAGGGTGACCATGGAGAAGAGGTAAATTTCCAGTAAACCAGACCAAGATCACCAAGTACATAATTTATAGTAATCAGTTACTAATATCAGATGAGACAGTCTCTCACAAAGTTAGGAGCCAATCATAGCTTTAATAGTGAGCAGATTTAGGTCAGCTTGTCCCAATCCCAATTTACATACTGATGTACAAATAAAGCACAAATATGCTGATGCAAAATCTGTAAGGAGATGCTTCTGAAACACTGGCTAGCCTACTCAGCGTTTTTATTTAAAGAATGCAGGAGTACTGGAAAGAGAAATGAAAGTATGCCACCCCCCTTAAAGAAAACAGGCTCTCATTAATCCCAAACTGAGAAAGGTTTAAACTCACATTCGCTTCTGCTTTAACACTCTCAACGCTTTCTGCTTTACTGTATTCTGAAAGACACAATATTGTTTAATTAGCAAAAATATGTGACTTTATGCTTGATTATACTGTTCAAATCTAGTGTATCACATTTAAGTTTTTCAAAAGATTCCTCAGTTACTAGTGCAAAGAGTTTAACAATAGTCACATTCAGCATTTGTCCTGAATTAACGATTAACCAAACAGGCTTGTACGGGAAGCTTCTAATAGAAAATACTTTCAAAATTTCTGGCTTTTTTTTTTTCTTTTGATAAGCAGAATACAAAGTCAAGCGTAGTCCATCAGAAACATCTTTCATCAATACATTTTAATGGTCAGCATCAAGTAATACCACAAAAGGAACTATAATACTACTGTTTATTTTAGGTAAGTTTATTATTAGATCCATTTTATATTGTTATGTTCATCCACTTTAAAAAATGAGCTTTCCTATTCCCTTTCTGCATAGTGCAGACCTTTTTGTTTTGGCTGATCAACAAAACAGCCTCTCTACCAGACTTAATTCAGGTAACAGAAGGAAGAAGGGAAGCAAGTTACTTCTGATTGAGGAATTACATTACACTTTGGAAGAAATAAAAACTAATGAAAACACCATTCAAAGATGCAAGTCTAAGAGATGCTTCAGAGTTAAAATAATCATTCAGGATCTTATACCTCACCAGTAGGGCAAGATGCAATTCTAAGAACCTGATGAACCGGCTAAATCACCCCTCTACAGGACAAGAAGTGTGAGTCACATCTTCTCATGCTTAAATACCACAGAAGATTCTTACCTTTGCAGGCCCCTCTCTCATCTTCTTCATTTGATCCTTATACTTCACTAGTTCTGCATCAAGCCTAGCAATTTTCTTGTCAATTGACTCAGCTCTGCTATCCACCTTTAATGTATGATGGGGAAAACAAATCAAAAACCCATCGTTAAGGTTTTCTTCATGTATCGGACAATAAAAAGAACAGCCTCAGTTTCAATATGCTTCTAACTGAACTGTTTCTTCACTCAGTAGTTTTATAAGCAGTTTAAAGTTTGTAGAGAATCCCAAACCAGACTCAGCTGAAACACCTGCTACAAGGAGCACAAGAAACATTTGGAGGTTGCAGGAAGCTCAGCCACTGTAACACCTTCTCATCGTTTTGAGATGCCCCCTGGCACATGCACTCAAGTCCCCGTCTCTATTCAGGAGTTGCTGATAACATACAGTGCCACGGGCTAAACTGGAACAGAAAAACATAGTTGTACCATGCTGGCAGATAAGGGGGCAATGCAAAAGGGAAAGGGCTGTGTCCAGCAAGGCCAGAGGTTTATTTTTGGTGGGCAGAGAACATTAATCCTTCAGAATGATACTTGGGTTACTGGTTACGTTTAAGAAGCCCAGGCTTAACCATTTTTTCAAAGGTGCCTAACTTCTTCCTCAGAGCGACACTTTTCCCATCATTTCCCACAAAGGGAGCCAAGACACAGCAGTTCTACCTGGTAGCTACTCTGAATTCTTAATTTTTGCTCCAAATCCCAATACTAACTGCACAGCTGAGTAAGAGACCTCCAGCAGTCAACCTTAACAGCCCTGCTGCAAAACATATCACAGAGCTGTCATTATGGGAATATTTTAACCCTTCTGCATAAGAGGGTTGAGGATGATAATTATATAACCAAGCATAGGTACAGATCATTCCAACAGCATATACAAATTCATAAAAAAATCCCCAAACAACTAAAGCCTTTTAACATGAACTGGCCATCACAGCATTTCTCTGGAAACAACAAAATAAAGCATATTAACTTCTCATTCCAAGAAGCCTCTCTAGGGATTAGAATACAATGACCTTTCAATTATAGTGTGAGACCAATCAGTGCAAATTTACAATTCTCACTAGCTAATAGTGTGGCTAAACATGTATAATTATGTGGATTTTCATTTTGGTGTTTCAGTGATCCTTTTAAATCTCTGCTCTATGACAGCAACATGAATTTGCCAGAGGCATCCTGAGCAGAACATTTGATATGAATGCTCCACACAAGACATTAAAGTGCGTGGGCACAGCTGGCATTGAAAAAATCATATTAAGGTTTCTATTATGCCAAAAATTTCACTAGTAGCAAGAAAAAGATATATTTGTGATTTTAAAACTCTTGTAGGTTGAAAGTGTAGCAGCTCCTCAAGATCTTCATCACCTAAATGCATCTTTGAGGTCAGCCTCCTTCACAGGGGAAAACCAGTTATTTGGTTTACTTATATAATGATAATTTTAACCTGTACTAGCAGGAAACAGAGACAGATCCTCCACATCAATTAACTACATAAAAATTTTACACACGCACTACACAGGACCTCAGCTTTTAAAAATGAGAATGGGTAGAAGAGGGGAGAACAGATCTAATTTATCCAAAAGAAAAATAAACTGTGTATTAGGACTTGAAAAGCTGATTTTTATTATTTACAAATAAGGCACACCAAGGTATGTATCATTGCTACAGAAGGGCCCAGATCTAAACAAAAGCAAGCGATCACGGTATCCCAAGTCCCTATCAAACAAAATTGCACCTTATTCAAATTTAAGAAGACTGAATGTTAACATTGTTGCAACTTTTGTTCCTATGTTTCTTACTTACTAACCTGAAAACTACTAAATTTTGAGTGTTTTTTCAAAGAATAAACAGTAAAAAAAATACCAGCGCCACAGTTCCTGACGCACCCTTCCTCCTACCAGCCCCATGACTGCTTTGACTCATCTGACTGTGCTCAGCCAGCAAGGAGACAAAAAAATCTGCCACTTCGTGCAGTGCGGAGGCAAGCACGGCAAGAGAGCGAGCAGAAACTGCAAGGGAGAGCGGGAACACACCCGTGGGGAGTAAATGGGGAGACAGGAGGGCATCACACTGCCAGACAGCAAACTCAGTAGTAACCAACCATCAAAGAAAAATAGGGAGAAGTGTTTCCCGGGCTCCAGTAAACACTTCAGATTAGTGATCCCACAGAACCAGCTCTTTCAGTGTGAAAATCCTGAATTGTTTAGACACCTCAAGGTGATGCTTGTTCTCTTACCACAGAAAAAAAAAAAAAAGTCCTCAGATGAAAATATAGAAAATATCCTTGAGGATATTTTCAATATTTAGAGCCAGGCCTTATATGAATCCATTTATGGGGAGTGCTTCTATGCACAGGAAACAAATATAGGCATGGGTGTATATATGTACAAATGTATGTACTGGTGTACAGGTACACTCCTGCACACACACACCCCCACACACAGACAGACACACCCCGTGCCCTCAGACAACCGTGTTTCCACACTCAGACCCACAGACGCACAGACACGCGGGGACTCTCGCACGAAGCACCACCACCCCCACACACACACACCCACCCACCCACCCAACCCACGCGAGGGGAGGCTCCGGGCCCGCCGTGCCGCCCCCGCCGCTCCCCCGTCCCTCCCGAGGCGGCGGCCGGGCCTAGCAGCGCGCTGGGCGGCGCCGGGGGGGGCCCCTCACCGTCCCGATGCAGTCGGTGAGGCTGGGCGGAGGCGCCTTCGGCTTCGCTTTGCCGAAGAAGCGGTTCATGGCGGCGGCTCGGCCCCGGCCCCGGACCCGGCCCCGGCCCCGGCAGCAGCGCTCGGCGGCGGCCCGGAAGCCCGCAGGCGGAGCCGCGGCCCGGGCGGAAGGAAGCGCGGGTGCCGCGGCCTGGCCTTCCGCCCGGCCTGCCTGCCGCCCGGCCTTGCCTTCCGCCCGGCCTGCCTCCCGCCCGGCCTTGCCTTCCGCCCGGCCTGCCTCCCCGCCCGGCCTGCCTCCCGCCGGGCCTGCCTCCCCGCCCGGCCTGCCTCCCGCCGGGCCTGCCTCCCGCCGGTGCCGCGGCCTGGCCTCCCGCCGGGCCTGCCTCCCGCCCGGCTCCCGGGGCTCGGCGGCCCGGGCCGCCTCTTCCCCCCCGCCCTGTATCTGTACGGGTACGGCAGGGGTTGCGCCAGCAGTTCGGAATTGGAGTCACCTCCCAGAAAAATACCTTTTCGCGTATATCAGTATTGACATTTTACTTGTTTTCCAATATAAAAGAAAAAAAATAAAAAATACAATTATATCTTGCCCGTAATTTCAGCTTATAGGATCTCTTAAAAAAGTAATACCGTGAAAACACGTGAAGCAAACGCATGCCATATTTATTTATTTTTTACGTTAACACTTTAGGGTTTTTTTCTGTACAGAAGTTACTGAGGACCCAACATATCTTTAGGCTTCACCCACTGATCAAACTGGTCTGACGTAAGGAAGCCCAGCTTTATAGCAGCTTCTTTTAACGTCGTCCCTTCCTTGTGCGCAGTTTTGGCAATCTTAGCTGCTTTATCATATCCTGTAACAAAACAAAGAAGTTAGACGTTTGCAATTTCAGAATACTTGCTAGAGGTGAGAAAGAGCTGGGATGGTTGGCCTTTGGGGAAGTAGTTTGCTAGATATTATGATTACTGCTTAACTCAGTTTGCAGTAAATGCACACCAAATGTTTACAACAACTCCGTACTCGAAAGTAAATTCTGTTACTCTGGTCTTAATGAATTTAGATCAAAGTTTTATGTGACTTCCTCCTTAAAAAAAACCAACGCCATTGCAATCTCTCCCTTTTCATTATTAGCAGTCAAATTAGGACAACAGATACAAAAATTCTTGCAATCTGTTGTTTTGTTTTTTTTTTTTTTAACTCTAGTGAGAAGTATTTTTATAATGAACCAGTATGGCCACTGCAAGGAGGGCCCACTTTTTCAACAGTAATAGCAGTTGGTGATATTAAAGTAAATTAAATTTTGACCTGAGCCATGCCTTGGTCCCCTAAACATTGTGACAACACAAATAATGTCTGCAAAGTAACATTACCGCAAAATATTTCAGTATAATGCTTTGAGAAGTTTCTGAGCCTTAAACCTACCTATATGTGGGTTCAGTGCTGTTACCAGCATCAGAGATTCGCTCATTAGTTTGTTGATCCTGTCCGTATTGGCTTGAATTCCAACTACACAGTTGTCAGTGAAAGAAATACAAACATCTCCAAGAAGTCTTGCAGAGTTTAAAACATTTTTAATCTAAGGAAAAAAAAAAATAAAAATTACCAAGTATTACATTCAGAAATTAATAGTTACACAATGGAGCACTTGTTCATAACCAGTGCCCCCTCTGCAATATCCACTTCTTTGACAGGCCACTTGTGGAAAAGGAGTACCATGAATAGTACACCCTCCTCCCTGGGCAGGGCAAGGTCAGCCACTCCTATTTAAAAGAACTCTGTGGGAAGCATTCAATAGAGGAAGAACTCTTGCATGAAGGCCACCACAGTATGTACAGCCATTGTTAGAACAGTTCACAAATAACCAAGTAAAAAATACATGAAGGCATCTGATTCATTGTTATTTTCCCCCTCAGGTACCAATCAAGAGAAGGCATCTATAAACACAAAGTACAGTAATGTCTGGCATTAGTCCCCTACTTCGACAATCTGTAATGTGCTGCTTTTTTTTTTGTTTTTTTTTTTGACAGGTGTCTGTTTCTTATCAAAATTTATCTTCTGCTAGGTACATCTTTTGGCTGTTCAATGTGTTGTTTTGGGTTTTTTCCCCTCTTCAAAACCAGGTGCTCTATGCTTAGAAGAAATATGTTCAGATTGGTAGAGAAAACCCATTACCCTAAGCACAGCAAGGAAGAGACAAACACTGATTTTGTTATAAAATTTCAATTTTCTTTCAATCATTTCTAACTTGCATAATAAAAAATCAGTATCAGTCAGTATAGGCTGTGTAGAAAAATAACATATGACCTACTGCTTCCTTTGTGCCTTATTTCTAAGACAAGAAAAACTCAAAAACTTCCCTTTTATTTCTATTTAATATTAGGATCTTTTCGAACAAGTCACCTTAATTATTTTTAAACTATCATCCCTACCTTAACCTCTATGCTATTTCTTCAACATCTTAACCACAGTTTTCCACAATCTTCTGATTCAATGCTTTTGCTTATATCCTTTTCCTCAGTTGCCCCTGTTTATTTTTCCTTCTTGGTTTCAAGAAAAAAAAAAAAAAAGTAGATACCCCAAAGAAGAAAATAAGAATTATGACTTGGTGTAAAAGCATCCAAATGTCAGTACAAGGTGATCTGTAACTTGACTTTATTAATTAAGTATACAGAAGCAGCAGTATGTATCTTGGTGTATCCTGATCACACTATAGAAGGCCAACATTATTTTAAACACTGAAGTCTAAGACTAACCATTTACAGTTTCACACGACTCACTTGCCAAAAGCATGTAATACTTCTGTATTCCGCAGTAACGGAAACTAGCAACAGAGAGTTGCTAAAGAAAAAAAAAAAAAATCCACATTTTTAGCTAAAATACCAAATTCTCGTTGGCATTGGACAAAATTTAGTCTCAAATTGTGTTCCTCTCACCCTACTTCCTTAGACTGATGATAAGCATATATTGTTAAGATAAAAGCTTATCTGCATAAGATAGTTTAATGTAAAAAAAGAAGGCCAGTTCCCTGTTAAAATAACAAGGACTTACCATACAAAATAATAAAATTTGTTCTCACAATTTATCAGCTTCCCTGGCGCTTGTACTGACTAAATATTTACTGATTTTTTTTTCCCCACGAGTTACCTGTTTGTACAATCAGCGATTTGAAAAGACCTACATGTTTGAAATTTTGTGAACTTACCATCATGGGCTTAAAAACATTCAGTTCAAAGTGTCCATTGCTACCTCCTACAGTAACAGCAACATGGTTTCCCATAACTTGAGCTGCCACCATGGTTACTGCTTCACACTGTGTAGGGTTCACTTTTCCTGATTGGGGAAGGGAGAGAAAAAGGTTACCAGAGAAGAAGGAAAGAGAAAAAAAACCCAAACAAACCCAAAACAGCAAAACCAGCAAAAACCACACAAACAAAAGACAGCAGTTTTCTCATTTACCAAATCATATTCAACAGAAGATATTTTGTATGAGGTAACATGTCTTACTCATCTGTATCCGTGCAGCACAGAAAGGAAGTAATTTCCATAAGTGATATGAAATTGACTGTACTATTGCACTAATTCAGCTAGGATTTTAAAGCAGCAATGGCTGCTTTAGCAATCTACAAAGACTCTGAGAGATGGATCAAATGTACATGAGCTCTAAACAGCTGTTAATTACCACAATTCTTAACAGTCAAGAGGTTATCACCTGTCTTTACTCGTGCAAGTAGGCATTTCTGGTAAATCACTACCAAATCTCAGTCAATTTAAGAAAAGTATTACTAATCTGTTAAAATTACTTTGTAATAAAATTAGTACAAAATGTTTACTTTGTCAGGAAAAAAAAACAAAAACAAACAAAAAAAAATTAAGAGTGGCCTCCTAACAAGGAAGTTTTATGGTTGATTTAATTTCTAGAAATAATCCTAGTAAGAACATTCATTATCTGCTTTTTTTTTTTTAAGCCAGATATGCTCACAACCTGTTTCTTTTATAATTTATCATACAGGAAGAACATGCTTAGAATAGTTTCAGATGTACAGTATTCATATAGATATAGGCAAGGAACAATTACTAATATCTAATATTAGTATTGTTTAATATTACTATGTATATTACTAATAATATTTCTTATCCTCCCATACAATGGAATCACTGCAGAAGAGAAAATGCAAGTACATAACACTAATCACGCTAGGAAGTAAATTCAGAAGTCAATTTACATCATTAGTATTGCTACACTTCATACATTACATCATTTAAAGCCTGTTTCAGAAAATCCTCTAAATAAAAATTGTAGCAATTTTGCAATTCTAAACAAAGGCTTTGAGAAGTATGCCTGTATTAATAAGTCTTTTGTTTACAGGTACTACTCTCTCCCACATACTTGCCAACACACACAGCTGTGCAAACAAGTATTTTTATGAACACAAATGGTGGCAAAATACAGCAGAAGATAAAAACTGACAGAAGTGTTGAGTCTTACAGACTCTTGTGGTGGCGTTTGGTAAGTATCTGTTAAGAATTAGTGGCCCCAAACAAAAGAAACGGGCAATTTTTGTTTGTATTCTTTCTTTGTACCTGGCATGATGCTGCTTCCCGGTTCATTTTCAGGCAGGATAAGTTCTCCTAGTCCAGAGCGTGGTCCAGAACCCAGGAAACGAATATCATTAGCTATTTTCATCAGACTACATGCCACTGTGTTCATAGCTCCACTGAGTTCCACTAGAGCATCGTGAGCCGCAAGAGCTTCAAACTTATTTGGAGCAGTGACAAAAGGCAAACCTACAGGGAGGTGAGGGAAATATAAAATATGAGGGACTCCCTTGCAGACATAAGCCAGATAATCAAACACATAATTAGCTTAATTAAAAAAAATTAAAAAAATTACCAACACTGTAAGATCATCTCTCTTCTCTAGACCTTCCCTCACAAACATATTTCTTAAACAGATCAATACAAAAGACACAGTAAGTCACTAAAATACAAGCCAGTATGAAATCTGAGCATCTACTCACAACAAAAGTACACATTTCAAGCTTTCATACTGTGTTGCATACTAAGCATTGCTTTGCACCACAGTATTCTGTGAATGTCAATAACCTCTTACAAGTTAGCTGAAACTTATGTATTTCCTCCATTAAATCAAGTTAGATTCTTTGGA